AAAAAAAAAAAAAAAAAAAAAAAAAAATTGTTAATATTACACACTTTTTAGTTATAATATTAGCGTATTACAAATTATTATATCTACTATTTTATTTTACATAATTTTTTAAATAAAATAGTATAAAGTATATAATTTTGTTTTTAAAAATGTATAGATGTGGGTGTGAGGTGGGGATGAGGCGGGTACGAAGTGGGGCGGGGCAGGTACTGTAACACCCTAGAAATTTCTTTCTTTTAAAATACTTATTTTTCCCTTTTTAAAATACGAAATAGGAAAATCTAAGACATTACCGCCACCATGGAAACGACTATGGCAAATATCAAATACACACAGCGGAAGACTATCTTTAAAACCATTTAAAACAAATTAACTTGAAAAGTCAAACCAAAAGAAAGTAAAGTCAAACAAAGTCAACCTACAACTTGGAACCATTGTAGGCCCGTAAAACCAAACAATACTGAAAACCTTTACGTTAGTCTCATGAGCATAATAAAATAAATAATATTCAAAGCAAATAAAACACATCATATTCCTATGAAAACTAAGCATGATTCGTTTTTCACTCATGTCCATCATGAAAATGCTTCATCACTTGAAAAAAAAACTTCTCTCTAATTGTCCCCACTACTCCCCATTAAAAATGGGCCGTCGTAGGGCCAAGGTAAAGACAAGGTCAAATAAACATACAACACACAATCAGCAATGCTGAGTACATAAGCATAATAAAAACACACTAACATGCTTTCATCCTATCATCACATCACTTACCTTGTTGCACCTGTTTACAAGCATACAACATACCAAACGACCAACCAATAAATAAATGGATTGCTTATTTAATTTGATTACGCATCGAACGGGTTTCCCACCAAATCCCTGCCCCAAATAAATTGAGGTAAACTACACCGGGAGCTAACCGGGTAGGCAAATGCCCCATGAAGTGACTGGACGTCCTGCACATAAAATAAATAAAAAGGAAAATACAGCGTCATGTACTCCCAGTAGAAGTCATGGTTAAATATAAAACCCCATAACTCCCCCCATATGTTCATACTCAAGGTATATACGTTCCAAGAGTTTTGGTGCGTAATCTCTTTCACTTTACGTTGTTTACATATTATTATACTTGGTGATGACTCTCAAATCATAACACAATCAAACATTACACTTCATTCAAGCAATCAAACATACCAATTTAATTCTTGAATAATTAGTGTCCACATAAATTTAATAGTTAGACCCTTTTTAATCTACCTCGGTGTCAAAGACACCTTAAACGCATAATGCGTCGCAAACCCTATCCCTCGGTGTTAGAAACACCTTAAGCGCACATAGGCACCGCAATATAATTTATTCCTATGTACTAAGACACTTAATAGCTCAATTCACATGCTTAAAGCATCGATAAAAATTATATGAACCATAAAAAAATTTCCTTTTCATATTCCAAACCAAATTAAACATTTAGTTTAATTAAACATGTTCTTTATCATGCCAATAATAAAAGTGTGGTTCATAATCAACATGCCAACATAATTAATTCCAATCACCAATTCATCATAAATAATTCATACATCGCAAATCATTTACCAACATCAATCCAATCAACAAATTCCAACCAACACCTATCATGATACTACTTGGAATTAATTAAACAAAGTCTAGCATGCTTCTACATACTCAACTAATTACCAAATACGCGAACGTACCTTGAATATGATCTTAAAATCGCCACGACTAAATAAAATCACTCACTTGGAAGTCTCCTACAAACCAAAATTACAAAGGGGCATTAATACCTATTCCGCACAAATTTCCAGCAATATATACACTCTTTAAATCACTCAGAAACCCTCTAAAATAAGCTAAATTTTATTTAAAACCCTTACTTTTATTCCCAATTAATGGGTTATTAAAAATCCTTTCTAGAAATGTAATTATAGCTTGTATATAAAAATTCCAGCTTTATTAAACCATCTAAAATTGTTGTAATTGTGTTTTAAAACACCATTTCAATAATTTAAATCATCCATAAACAATTTCCATCAATAAACATTAATTTAGAAACCTAGGGTTTTCAATTTGGGGATTTTTAATTAAAAACCAAATCTGAAAATTTATATACAAAATACTTATCATCAAACATCATAAAATCATCACAAAACCCAAAAACAATAATTAGATTAAGGGTAGATTTAATTAAAAATCAAAAAGAATAATAATTTATTTTTTTTTTCGACCACCGGCGCACTACAACCAAGGTCGGCTGCTTCCGTGCCCGCCTGGTGGCTACTGCTGCCGGCGAGTGCTGGTGGTGGTGGCCGCCGGCCGGTGAGCAGCCGCGGTGGTGGTGTGTGTGTGGGTGGCGATTGAAGCAAAAATAGAATAAAATAAAGTAAAGGGGAAGGGGAAAAATTAAGGGGAAAAGAAAATAAGAGAGAGAAAGAGAGTTTACCTTTAGATGCACTTCACCTTAGGCATATGATCGGTACTTATACCCTCTCTCAATAACCCTCCTACTTAAAATTCCTTTACTACCTTTAATGATCCCTTTCCTAGTCAAACTAGTATTTTGACTTTCTTTAAAAACTCATTGACTTTAAAATTTCCTTTTATAAAATAATATGCCCCAATATTTCCAAATCATGAAATACAATATTGTCAAGATTATTAAAAATAAACTTTTAATTAAAATAATTCTTTTTAAATTAATGAAACACCATAAATAATTTATTTCAAATTATTTAAATACTTTAAGAAATGCTTATTTAATTTAAAATACGTATAAAAATACGGGGTATTACAGGTACAAAGTAAAATCCACCACCGCCCCATCACCCATGGCGGGTATGATTTTTATCCCCATCCCCGCCCCACCACCCACCAAACCAAGACTCATCCTCGTCCCACTGGGGCGGGGATGGGGAGGGTCTCCTACTTGAGCCGCCCCACTGACATCCCTAAAAGGATGACTATGAAGGCGGTGGTGTTGTTGATTTGGTGTAAAGGGGTTGATTGAATTATGGAAAGGGGGTTGAAAATTTTTAGGGGTATCTAGGTCATTCACAATGTCGTCCTAGCTAGTGGCATTAATTTAGGTCGATCATTAGGAACTTCGTATCATCATAATTCATAAGTCATAGCCATTATTACTTAATGCTTGATCTGTACACCCGGGTGTACCATGCGCATGGTACACCCGGGCAAAAACGACATCCGCTTCTTCATAAAACGCAGGCACCAAATAAGCTTAAAAAAAGCGGAAAGAATATCATGTTAGTAAATAATGAACATGCATATTCTAAAGAACATCAAGTTAAGATAAAAAGAACGCGAGATATTCTCAACACAAATCTTTAACTACAGGAAAAGATCTACCCATGGCTCACATTAACTGATAAAATCTTTTCAAAAATTATCATTTTTCAAAATCGGTTTCGCTTTCTCTCCAAAAATACAGGTTCTCATAATTATTTTTATTCTCTAAAATTATTTCACCCAAAAATAACTTAAGATTTCGTTTTTAAGTTTCAAAATTTTAAATTTCATTTTCAAAATTTCAGTTTTCAAATTTTTTTTATTTCATTCATATTTTTCACCAATTATATACGAAGTATATAGTTATAATATTCATTTTAGGTTCTGTATATATATATTTCTTGTAATGTTCTATATGTGATTTAATAATGTTCTTTATTAGAAAACATGATGTACTTTATAGTTGTTTGCAATGTACAATTATTTTCTAAAACTATATATTTTTCCTTATGTCCATAATTATATCATATAATGATTTTTATTAGATTTTTTGATAAATTATTTTAAATGTCCATGTTCTTTGATTGTAATTGCAATGTACTTTTATCGTCACATAATGTTCATTGCTTATTATGAAACGTTCTTTGAATTTTGTATTTGGATCGTGGTAGGTATATATATATAAGTTATATTCATTACATAAATTATCATGTTCTTTAATAATATTACGAATGTTCTTTAGATATGAAAAACAATCATCAATAGAGGAGATCTCAAAAGAATATCGTTATCAACCTTCATGATCTTGATTTTTAAAAAAAAGTATACATAGTTAGTGATAATTAATATTAAAAATATATAGAATTAATAAATTATATATTATTTAAAATTAATATTATAATAACTCAAAGAACATACAGGATAAATCAAAGAACGTTCATATGATTGTTCAATAATTATAATAACGAACATAAGTACAATTTATAAAGAACATCATCTTCAACCTTTGACAAAATATAAAGAATATCATGTTCAACCTTTGTCATATGGATCTCAAATTCATAAATATCAAAATTGAAAAAAAAATGATACTTTACAATAATCATGCAAAATAATAACGAAATATAATCAACCTAATAAGCAAAATTCTAAAATTAAAATCATAACAAACAAAATTAAATTACCTTCTCCGATCCATCGATTACAATGTCCTCATAATTTGCTCTATATTTTTCTCTCTACAAAATTCTCTATAAACTTTGTTCTCTCTCTTAATTCGAAATTGAAATATGGTGAAATTTAATTTATGTAAAAATGGAGAATATCACATTGAATCCCATGAATTGTGGAAGAGTTTGGTTTTTTTTTTTTTAAATAACAAACTGACAGCTTGCAAATGAAATACTAAAAACGCATTATTTAGCACCAGGTGTATTATGAGCATGGTACACCCTGGTGTACTATGCAATTTTCAATTATTACTTGGTACTTCCTTCATTCTTTTTTACTTGACCCATTTTAACTTTTACACTATTCACCACTCATCCTTTAACCATCTTTTGTGAATAATATGTGAGAAAAAAAATATTCGTGTGAAATCTTGTTAAATTCGTCTCAATAAGTACTATCATAATATATATAACTTTTATAAATTTTACTTACGGAGAATTAAAATTATTTATCGTCAAAATCCTGCATTGACAAGCATGATAAAATAAATAGGTTAAAGTAAAAAAGAAAAGAGTAGTATGAGATTAAAACACTACTCCAATAAGAAACTCCTTACCAATAAACCCAGTTATTCTGCAAAAAAAGCTTCAAATTATTCCAACAATGGAGGACAGTTTCAGAGTTCGTGTTGACAAAACATTTGGTTCTCTCTCTTCTTCTTCTTCTCCTCCTTCATCTTCCCTAACCCTAACTTCCTCTCTTTGGTGTCTCACTGACGAAGAAATTCAAAAGCGTCAATGGCCTCCAGAATCCGATGCTTCAATCCCCACCGAAGAAGACGACGTAAACGCCGCTGTTAATGACGCTTTTCTTCCCACCAACGTTGATAAATTCTTCTTCGCAGCAAAGGGTAAATCAATGCCATCTGAGCAAAACCCTAGCCCCAATCTTAACCCTAATGATCTGGGTTGTGGTAAGGAGCTCAAAGAGGATCTTAATGAGCTCGATAACAATGGCGGCGAGGGTTCTAGCGAGAATATGGCGTTGAGTCAGTGTAATGAGGATGTGGGTGGTGATGATGATGAACTGGATGTTAGGAATTCTATTGGGAAGGATTGTACTCTTGATTTTGAGGTACTTCCTCTCTCCATTTTCTCATTTTCTATTGCTTGAATTACTAAATATGATTGATATTGGTGACTGCTCTGTTTCAATACATTGTCAGAAATTTATGGTACTATTTTCTTAATTAGTTAATCTTATAGTTTATACTCCGTATTGAATAGCTGTTGTAAATCGTCTCAATTACAATTATATGCTGTCGACTTTCGAATTTTAATAAGGTTCCCAATTTAAAGTATTTTTTTTTCTTCTGGTTTCAGTATATATAGACTTATAGAGCTTTATCAGTGGTTTAAATCTGAATTGATGTGGAGAACTGGAGACCTATAGGTTGATATGCTCGTAGATACCAGTTCGTGTTTTTTTTTTTTTTTTTTTTTTTTGGTTTGTACAATGTAAGGTTGCATTTGTGTTTTTGAATGAATAGATAGTCTATAAAGTTTTTCCATTTTTATTATATGACCAAGAACTGTATTGGATTCAATGTTTACTGGAGAATGCAATGGCAGCCGTAATGAGATTAGAACAGGCCATAAATGGCTGTTGTGTTCTGATGAGTTGTCTTATAACTGATTGTACATTTGAAGGAGGTCCATTATCAGCATACGCATTTGGAGTTTTGTCATATAGAAAATGAATGTACGCATAACCACATCATATTCAAGGAACTAAGCAAGAGTGAGGGGTAACTCAAGTGGTTAGAGCTTCCCTTTTGATTTCTTGTGATCCTGGGATCGATTCTTATCCTTGCCCTTGGGGCTCTCTAAACACCAAAAAATATATATATATATATATATATCAAGGAACTAGGCTGGAACTAGGCTAACGGTCCATGTTAGGTTTTGTTATCTTTGGGTTTTCATACTATTGGCAAGATAGGTATCTTTAGGTCTGTATTGAACATTGCTGATCTATGTATTAGGTGAGAAATATTGAATTTTTATTTGGGATGAGAACTATATCATTTATATCTAAGATTGCTGAAGTTTGTTGTGGATATTGGTCATTTTTGTCAGCTTAATTTTGAGGATAATGAGATAAGCTTTAAAGTCAATAATGCCTTCAGTTTAGAATTCTGTGGAAAGTTTAGCTTGGTTAATATTGCCGCTACATGGCTATGTACTTGTGTGGTGCTTCCTTTGCACTTTATATGTATTTCTGCTTACATTTAGTTTCCAGCATTTTATTTCCTTTGTTTATTTACTTATGTTGTACTTGTTTCTTTGGGTTTCATGTGCCTTGATGGTATTTTAATCTGCTGAGTTTGATTATATGTGCAATAGTTTACGTAGTTTCATCTTAATGAGTTTTTTTTTCCTTCTATCATCAAAAGCAAAGTTTACTCATCAAAAGCAAAGTTCAAATAAAGTTTAGACAAATAAATTAAAATAACTTTTAAAACTAAATATTTATTCAAATAATTTAAGAAGATAAACATAGTATATTTATCCTACACAATGAATCTATTTAATTTTTGATACAAAATATATCATTGAGACAACAACATTATATGCACCGACTATTCACATCATTTGATGCAATTGATGAACTTCAAATGATGATAAATTTGTACTACCTTTGTTACTTTTTAGATTCAACAAAAGGGTATTTTTTGTGAGATATAAAATTTTTTTTTGTTGCAACTAAAAAGTAATGGAGGTAGTATTTTCCCAATAATTTGTTATCTAAGTTTTGTTTGGTGTTTTACTATTTTTGACTCTTATTTAATATTGGGGTAAAATATTTTGTATTAAAAATTGAATAGATTAAGGGAAAGGCATACCTATAGTCATAGCCCCTAAATCATCATTTTCATCAAATGGTGTGAATAGTCAATACATTTAATGTTCTTGTTTCAATGAAAATATTATTTTATCATAAACTGAATAGATTCGGGGAAGAGCAAACCTATAGTCATAGGCCTTAGGTCATCATTTGCATCAAATGGTGTGAACAGGTGGTGCATTTAATGTCATTGTCTCGATAAAAATATACAACAATATTAAATGCACCGACTTTTTCACACCATTTGATGCAAATGATCATCTAGTGGCTATGACTATAGGTCTGCCCATCCCCGAATCTATTCAATTGTTGATACAAAATATTTTCATTAAGACAACAACGCTAATTGTTCACACCATTGATGCAAATGATAACCGTCAAATAATAATAAACTAGTATTTTCTCGATATTTTGTGATCTAAGTTTTATTTGGTGCTCTTCTATTTTTGACTTTTACTTGTATTACTCCGTACATTTATTTAGTTTTTGTTCATTTTGTTAAGGTGCATATACTGTAATTAAACATATCCTAATAGATTTGAATTTTATTTGAACATATTTTTGTTCAAATTAATTTTAATTAACTTAATTTAGACATACACACTCAATTATACTGATAAAGTATATAAGTAATTCTATTCAAAAAAAAAAAAGTATATAAGTAATTAGTCATAGACTTCTAACTATCATATCACACCCTCAGTATGTAAAGCTATTTTAAGTATGTATAAAATTACTTATATACCTATAATTCAATAAGATTTGTTGAATTCTTTTGACTTTCATTTGATTCAATTAGCTTTGTTTGAATCTATTTGAAGTCGGTGCAATTAATGTAGTTATCTCGATGAAAATATTTTGTATCAAAAATTGAATCAAGTGAAAATATTTTCATTGAGCCAACTACATTAAATGCATTGACTAAGAAAAGTCAAACAAAGCTAATTGAATCAATTGAAAGTCAAATTCATTCAACAAACCTAATTGAATCAAATCAAAGTCAAATGCATTCAACAAATCAAGTCTATACTAAATCAAAGTCAAATGCATATGATAAACTGGGACTTCCTCCAAAGTAGCGCTACTTAATCAACACTAAAAGCTTGCTACAGATACTAACGATTGAATACAAATTGTTTAAATAAAATAAAATAAAATCCACCCAAATTTGCCTTTAATGAAGATTAAGCCCCCAACAGAGGTTGACAAATGACGATTGATATTGGTGACTGCTCTGTTTCGATAATTATTCAGAAATATACGTTGTTATGGTACTATTTATTGGTAATTAGATAATCGTATAGTCAATATGAATAGCTGTCGCAAATCTTCTCAATGTTAAGTTATATTCTGTCGACTTTCAAAATTTTAGTAAGGTCTCCAATTTAAATTAGTTATTTTTCTTCTGCTTTCAGTAAAGAGCTTTATCAGTGGTTTTTGAAATCCAAATTGATGCAAAGACATATAGGTTGATATGCTCGTAGATACCAGCAAGTTGTTTTATGTTCGATGTAAGGTTGCTTTTGTGTTTTTGAATTAATAGATAATCTATAAAGTTATTTCATTTTTATTATATGACCAAAATCTGTATTGGATTCTACAATGTCTGGAGAATGCAATGGCAGTTATACTGAGAATAGAACAGGCCATAAATGGCTGTTGTATTCTGATGAGTTATAACTGATTGTATATTTGAAGGAGGTCCATTAGCAGTATAAGCATTTGGAGTTTTGTCATATTAAAAATGAATGTACACATAACACATCATACTCAGGGAACTAGGCTGTCCATGTTAGGTTTTGTTATTTTTGGGTTTTCATACTATTGGCAAGATAGGTATTTTTAGGTCTGTATTGAACATTGCTGATCTATGTATTAAGTGAGAAATATTGAATTTTTATTTGGGAATGAGAACTATATCATTTACATCTAAGATTGCTAAAGTTTATTGTGGATATTGGTCATTTTTGTCAGCTTAATTTTGAGGATAACGAGATAAGCCTTAAAGTCAATAATGCATTCAGTTTAGAATTCTGTGGAAAGTTTAGCTTGGTTAATATTGCCGCTACATGGCTATGTACTTGTGTGGTGCTCCCTTTGCACTTTATATGTATTTCTGCTTACATTTAGTTTCCAGCATTTTATTTCCTTTGTTTATTATTACTTTACTTATGTTGTACTTGTTTCTTTGGGTTTCAAATGACTTGATGGTGTTTTAATCTTCTGAGATTGATTATATGTGCAATAATTTACCTAGTTTCATTTTGATGAGTTATTTCTCTTTTATCATTAAAAGCAAAGTTTACTCTTTTCTGTTGCTACCTACATTCTGTACATAGTATTAGTTTTCTCTTGTAAATGATTTGCTTGATATAATTTGTAAGTGTAGTAATATTATTTTGGAAATGATAAACAACCTTTGTTTAATCAAACTTTGCTAGAAGTGTCAGACACAGGTTTGTGTACCTGTCAAAGTGTCAAACTTGACCATCTTATAAAATTTTTGCTTGATTATGGTCCAAAATTGTGTGTCATTAAGTGTCTTACCCGTGTCTCAAATCTCAATGTCGATTATACAACATGGATTCTTGAAATAACATGAAGAGTGTAGTTACTTAGGAATCACCGGAGTAATTGAAAAGCTTTGCATATTGCTATATTTAATAAACGACCTTGCACACGTCAATTAAATGCACCTGTTTTCTGTAGAAGTGTCATGAATAGTCCGCCAAGATAATTTTGTATGTCCTGAGTTATGGTCATGGACAATTCTAATGGGCTGGCCAAAGTTTGACATCGTTACATTGATGTTTGGCGATTGGTTTATTTATTTTTTTACTCATTTGGTAGTGTAATGCGCAAGGATGTAAATGTGTTCATCTACGTGCTTCTCTCATGGCAGCTGATTAAAATGTTTCATGATTGTAGCTTATGTTCTGTAAAGTAATGTATTGAAGTTTCACTATGTTAGTGATTTGATAATGTTGCAACTATAGGAGTGCTCTTTTTTAACTTTTTCTTTCTTTATTTTTTTAAAGGCAATACAGCTTCGAATATTCTATGCAGTATGCTAGTCTGCTTCATTTGTGTCCACTGAACCAAATTTCCCCTTTCTTCTGCAAGTACCATTTTTGAAAATTCTTACTTGTATATTTTCATAGTTGTATGTAATATGGTCTTCATTGATGGATTGTGTGTGTGTGCACGCGCGCGCGCATTCTGAGATCTTATCTTTGAATTATTTTGTTTCCAGGCTGAAGAGGACGAATACGACAAAGTGGCTGTTGGAAGTGAAAATGTTGGTCAACGACTATACATGTCTGATGTGACTGATTATACATCAAATATTAATTCCTATTATGAGCTCCCTGAAACATTAAAGGAGGCCCCCAGAGACCCACGTGCAAATCACATGGCTGCAAAGCTCAGGCTTAAAGAAGATGCTGAAACTGCAAGAAGTTTCAATTCATTGCATGTTTCTGATCAAATGGAGGATGATGTTTCTGGTGCCCAGAATAATGTTCCTGAAGATGGAAACCTTCCCAAGTCAATATTGAAGCGAAAAGATGATCAGATGGATTCCAAGGCTGGAAAACGAGTGCGGTTTGAGCCCATCTGCAAAAGAGATGATCACAGTGCATCTGAAGATAGTGATATAATTGTCATGTCAGAAACTTCTAGTGTAGATTACTCTTCGTTTAAAGAATCGTCTTCACAGCTGCACGATTCTTCCTTGGTACCAGATTATGTACGCCATCCTTTGAGATATACCCATTATACCTTTGATTCATCAGATGATATGAATGAAGAATGTAATCGTCAAGCCTACACGGACTTCCTTAATATGGTGAAGAAGTCCAAGTCAGAACCTGAAGAAGCTCCTGCTGATCTTACAAAACCTGTAATATTTAACCCAAAGAAAAATGATGGTGTTGCTTCTCTGAATACTAGCAAAAAGACTGATCATGCGATGGGGGAACCAGTGCAGAAGAAAAGCTTCCCTCTAATTATTACTGCAGAGGACACAGAAGAGAATGAAGCTGCTGAAATGGAGGTAGATGAGCAAGAAACTCCAGTCTTGAAGGTTGGTAATGGAAAAAGAGCAGCTCGTAGATATCGCTCCAAAATTATTGAGGAATCTAAGGAGCATGATAGTTAATGTATGGCTAGAAATGACTAGTTAATGTAACTAGTTAAGCTCATTAAACTTTACACATCTCTCAGGTATAGAATATTCAAATGTGTTATTAGTGCTTCTAATGTACCTTGCTGGTAATGAAGATCCTCTGTGATTCCTTTACTCTCAAGAGTGTTTAATAATTACGAAGTATTACATTCCGTACCGAGTGTTACTTTCAAGATCTTGGTACATTGAATATCTTATAATCCATAGCCTACTTTCGTAGTTTCATACCAAAGGACAGTCCGTTTGAGATGGAGAGAATGCACCAGATTATTACAATATTTTAATACTCCGTATTATAAGAGCTTTTGTAAACTAGTCAAAAAGTACAAAAAGTTATTAAAAACAAAAAACTTGACAATCCCGTCAAAACAAAAAAATCTTGACAACAATTATGAAACACATTAAAAAGGCTTTATTGTTGTATGCTACTCTTATATTGTGGGGGAGGATCAGGGAAGAGAACTTGGATTTGTTCTATGTCTAGGGAATTGTATACAAAGCCCGATTGTCTAGACGCATCATCATGCGTATTCACGCAGCTATTTGGAGTTTCTCGAATAAAAGAAACAATCTTTAAACCTTTCTTGGATTTTATTAAGTTTATTATACGATTATGGTTGAATGTATTCGTTTTTCTTGAGGAAAAACGAGTTAAAGAATTTTTGTGACACAATGATAGAACTCCCAAGGCTCGGTTGAGAGGCGATACTTGAAGGCTTGGTTCAAGAATCAAAGTTTGGCACAACGGCAAGGTTTAACAAACCATAAACACAAGCTAAGCTCACGTTTTTCATATGATAATCAAAACTCAAATCTGTTTTTTGTTAATTCTTAACCACTTATTTATAAGCTAAATAATTAGCCTAAAATCGTGTAGAACAAAATCTAATCTAACTAGGAAACTTATCCTAACTTGTAAAGATAATATTTTGCAAATATAATCTTTAAAGTTAAGCTATCTTCTACTAACCGAATTAAACTAACAAATATATCCTAATAATTAAAATAAACTCCTAAGGCCTAAAACAAAAAAAACCCTTTCAAGTGAAAGGTAATAACTCGTAGGCAAAAATCTAAAATAAGCAATAACCATCTCAATACGTATCACCTGATGTTTCTATGTTTGATCACCATAAAAAAAAAACAAGTAGGCCCGTTAAGGTGGCCTCATGGCACAATAAAAAAAGTGGTCCTTCTCTTTTTTTTTTTTTTTCTGAAAATATTTTAACAATTTTAGAAAACAAGTACGGAGTAAATTATTATTTTTAATTAGCTTTTAGTATTCATGAAAATAAGAATATTAAATTATTAAAAACATTATTACATTTTATAAATTCATTGAATTGAATTTTGAGGACAAAAAAAAAAAGCAGGACCACTTTATATACATGGGTCTATATTATGCCACATAGAAAATTTTCAACAACAAAAAACTTATGACGTTCAATGAGGATTGAGGGGATTTAAGGATACAGAATAGCTTGTTCACTCTCTATTAAGGAGCTAATGGATGGATTTATTAATCAGTTTTAACTTTTAAGCAATTGTCATACAATGTTTGAGCTTGGCAATTTCCTAGACAATAAAATGGATAATATCTACATGGGTAAACTGCAATTGAGAGTTTATGTATGTCTGTTACAAGTTTTCAAAAGGCCCTGCTAGGAAATTGATGTTTACCTGATGGATTATTTACAATTATGTCTTTAATAAACCCACATCATAGCCAAAACAACAATGGCAGCTGATTTTTGACTTATTGTGGCTAATATATACATGCTGAGTTTTATTTTTTATATTATTTTCCGCACTTCTCAGAAAATGCAACTGCAAGAGAAACAAATGTCAAATGTACAGTTACCTTCATATATCCGACTCTGAAGAGGAGGGAAAATAGACTACTGAATCTACAAGTAGGTAATGAATATAGCAAGAGGAAACACAAACTGCTGAAAGCAAAAAAATTTGACCATCGCCTTAACTACATTTCTTTCTAATATCAGTTCTAATATACTGTATCTTACAAAAAATTGGCCCCTATACTCTTCTATTTTTAAGCAGCACAACCTCAGACTGTATTTCATATCTATAAACTCGAGGCTGGATTCGAGCCCTCAGTTTTCTCATAAGAACAAAAAGAATACACCTAACTGTTAGCATTCTATACAGCATTCTATCACATTCACAAATTCAAACACTGTTCAGCAGTAACAGACTGACAAAAAACTGGTTGCTGAAGCCAATTAGCAGCTTAAAAAAGTCGCTTGCGACAACCCTCAGCACCACAATAGCAAGCCATCTGCTTTACCTTCCCATCAGGGCCAATGACACTGTCGAGCGCATATCCATAGTCATATGTAAGCTCCTATCAAGAAACAACAATTGTCAGTTAATACAACAGTTTTGAAATGGCAAACAAGTACCCACAATGACTGAAAAATCTGAATTAATATAACCAACAATAAAACTTCACGAGTTTGAGCAGCTTCACAAACATATACTTCCTCTATTCCTTAAAAAAATGCATTTGACTTTCACGCTTCGCAACACACAACTTTGAACATTAGTAACTCTAATTATCTATTAATAAAAATTGTTAAAAGTAGAAACCAATTACTTGTAGAGGTGGTATGTTGTCAGCAGCAAAGAGCATCACCCTAGCCAATTTGATGTCATGATGCGAACTCAACATACATTGTACAAAGAGGTTTGGTTCGCAACTATGATTGATAAACCTGGCTAGATTTCCTGTGACACCAGCATCAATGCAGAACTCCACCATACTATCAACAACCTTCTCCTCAGGTTTCTCATGAGCACTCTCGGCGGGGATAGACACATCTCGCAATCTCATCTGATAACAAACATTTTAACAATGAGAAGAGTATTCGGCTTTAACCAGCAGACATACCTAATACTGTATACAGGCTTGGTCAGGTACAGTGACAGACAGACATCAAACAGGTCTCAGTGAAAAGAAGAAAGGAGTTCAATACAACTGTCCACTATGCTAATTATCCATATAAAAATATTATCAGTACATATACAGCTACAAATGGGTGCAAGTGTGCAACCACATTTTCAAAAAAAGAAAAACAAAAAAAAAAAAAAAAAAAAAAAAAAAGAATCATCTGGTGACTTGACCATTTGACAAGGAAAGATGAGACTTCAATACAGAATTCATTGCGACTTTTGTGAGATTTTAAATATCTTAAATACTTGAACAATCTAAATCCTCAAAGAGGAATGACATTCATCAGCCCAGGGAAGGCCAGGAAATACTCATATGGTTAGGTAAGCAGGCAATCTGACAAACAAATGTGGTCTTTCTGCAGTGCCACCAACTGGCAGCCTACTTTTATACCCCAAAGATCATACAATCCTCTTTCATCCACTCTTCCATGGATGGTATTAATGACATGAGGAAAGAGAACAAGTTCAGGGTGAGAATTAAATTAAACCTCAAAAGATAAAACACATCCTCTATACCTGTCTCCCATCAAGTCCCTTCATGGTTTGAAGGCAATCTATGTCGAAGATGAAATTGTTTTCCAAAACACTGTCACCCTCATCCGATCTCTTCAGAATTCCGGTATATTCACATATTGGGGCACCAGCCGGTATGTAGTCCCACGACCTCACACCCCAACCCTTCTTTGGTGTACGGAAAACCTACGTAGAATCAAACCAACGATATAACATATCAGAAAAGTAATTTTAGTAAATATATGAATTTAATTGGAAAAACATTAGCACCTCAAAGCGGTATCTCAAGCCTTTCTGGGAAACACGATTGATGCAAGAAGGACCACAGCCACACTTTGGGCCACACTCGAACACTACAGCCTTTGCTTCAATGAGCCTAAAAGAAAACAAGCATCATGTAAGAAATGAGCAGAAGTGTAAACAAGCTCATTTATAACTTAATGAAGAGTTACAAAAGCTTTCAAACACTACTAGCTTTTGAATATTGTTTTACCTGCCACCATCCCTATGAACATATGGGAAGTCTGAACCATTAAGCCGAGCACAAGCACATATATTAGGATTGGTGCAACCATCGATGCAATCACATCCACGAGTAGGGGCAGGAATTTTAACATTGTCCGCAACTTGGATAGATTTGAAGTATTTGAAACCTAAAATGTGCCATCTCAATCAAATAGAAGGAAATCGAGCATACAAAAAACTGCATACTAAATAGCCATCGCATCTCCCAGATTAAATGACAATGATAACATAGAATAACAGAATCCTTCTCAATTACACAATTATAGACACAAATGGTTAAAATTTCAAACAAGGGGTCATTCTAACTGAGATCTTTCGATCTGAGTAACAGGATTTTAGAGGCCACTGAGTTCTGGTAGAATTTAAGGCCTGGCACCCTAAGGCCTTTATTTTAAGATAGTTTTTTACATGATATGCAACTATTTTCAAAGCTTATTAATGACAAAATGAACAAATAACTGGGGGTGAAAAGGAGCAAGGAAAAGGGAGATGTGGGAGAGGGAGTCAGAAAAATGAAAGAAGAGGGAAAGAAAAGAAGAGAGCAGGGGAGAGAGGGAGGGGGGGTAAGACAAGAATGGATTCTCAAACAAGCTATCTAAGTAGCGGGTTCAAATCCATTCTCATTATAACTCATGATTTTGTTCCCACAAAATCAACACCAACTTAAAGATCCATTTCCCTTCCAAAAAAAAACCTAAAAGATTCATTTCCATATGAAATGTGATCATAATCAACCAAATCTTCAATTTCCTGAATTTCTATCCAATATTAAGACAGGTCTGATGTCATTAATCACAAAATCTGACCAAGTTATATCCAACTTCATATACTGACCCTAGGTCAAAATATATTTTCATATCATTATATTACCCTTATAATAGCATAAAATTAACTCACCAAAAATAAACTTGGCTAGCCATTCATTAAAAACCACAGCTAAAGAACAAAAAGTGAAAAAACAGCAAACAAACATGAACGAATAGGCAAACTCACCAGTAGGTGGCACAGGAGGATCATCAACTAAATTTGTTGCAGGAATAGGAATATTCTCCTGACCTCCAGAAATATCCTCACAAACCAACCTAAATTAAACAAGAAAATCAGCATTAATATCATGAAATATAGTCAATATTACCTACAGAAATAGATTAGCATACACTAAGAAACTATAACACGTAC